TGCAAGGTGGCATATGACATACATTGTGAAATTCCCTCCTTTACTTCAATGCTACGAAATCAGTTCTGCCTATTCCTCTTTTGACAGTCATGCTCCAAATCAAGAAGGCCTTTGTGAATTTCATTTTTTGAACCATAAACACTTGATAGTAACCACTGATGCAAACACGAGAAAGTAGCAACACTGGTTAAAGCTACGTTGTTGCTCAGCAGGGATTGCTGAGGCTGGGGAACGCCACCATGATCACTTGATATGGCAAATAAGAATTTCTTCAACATATTTTATACATACCTACTAACTTTCTTTCTCTCAACTTCCTCTTGTGATTGTATATTATAGAAAGAGTAGACTGTATGTTCTTTGGTCTTTAGTACCTGTGGGATCTGCATCTGAGGACCCAGCCAACCAGGGATTGAAATATTTGTAAAACATTATATCTGTACAGAGGTGTGGCACTTCAAATGAAAATGGCCCCCCATAGGCTCATAGGGAGTGGCATTATTTGAAATTATTAGGATGTGTGGCCTTTTTGGAGTAGGTGTGGCATTATCAGAGGAAGTGTGGCATTGAGGGTGGGTTTTGAGGTTTCAGAAGGTCAAGCCAGGTCCAGTGGTTCTCTCTTTTCCTGATGCCTACCAATCAGGATGTTGAGCTCTCAGCTCCTTCTCCAGCACTATGTCTGCTTGCATGCCACCATACACTCTACCATGACAGTAATGGACTAAATCTCTGAACTGTAAGCTAGCCCCAGGTAAATGTTTTCTTTTATGAGAGTTGCTGTGGTCATGGTGTCTTTTCACAGTAATAGAACTTTGACTAAGATAGGAGGAGATACAACGTTGTACGCAGCAAAGGTAGAGGAGCAGAGACATTTAAGCTCTTTGAATCTGAAGACCCAGGAACTAGACATGAAACTACAGGATTTGGTGTTTGCCCTAATGGGTTATAATCTTGACTGGTGGAGTCTCTTTCTCTCTTTCTCTCTTTCTCTCTCTGTCTCTCTCTCTCTGTCTCTCTCTCTGTCTCTCTGTCTCTGTCTCTGTCTCTCTCTCTCCATGTTAGAAGTATGCAACTTGTTTTTGTTGTTCTTTTAATTTTAGGGAGATAGTCACAATTGAAAAGGTTTCCTTGAGTCTCAAAAGAGACTTTTGACTTTGGGCTTTTGAACAATGTTGAGAATTTTAAAGACTACGGAAACTTTTAAAGTGAGACTAAATGCTTTTTTTTTTCCCCATCATGATATGATCACGAGCCTATGGGGATCAAGAGCAGAGCATGGTGGTTTGAATGAGCGATGTCACTCACAAGCTCAAGTATATGATCCCTAGCTGGTGCTGCTGTTTCCAGAGGTGATGGGCCCATTAGACAGTGGAGCTTTCTGGAGGAAGTACATCACTGGGGGTGGGCTTTATAGCCTTACCCCACTTCTCGTTCTCTTCTTTTGTATGCAGTGTGTGAATGAAAATACGATTAACAAGATCCTGCACCTATGTGTTCCCCAGAGTAAAAAAGAATGTTCTGTGCAATCCTATCAAGGTAGGTAAGATGTATTTTTTAATTAATGGTTGATAGTTTTGGCAGAAGCATTGCATGCAAATCACCACACATCCAGTTATGTCTTCCCTGACCTTCTCTGTGAAGTATCAGCCCAATTTCCTCTCCCACAGTGGAAATGGTCCAATGTAATCAATTTGCCAGCAGATACGTGGATGATCACCTGGTGTTCAGTATTGGTGCCTATGTTTACAGATTGTAGGGTCTAAGACTAAATAAAAGACAATCTATTATTTAAAAGTGAAAACCTTCACCAGGACAAATACCGGGTCATATTTAAAAGTCACCTAAATAAAAGTTTAGAACACTTACTTTTCACAATAAAGGCTCACTATCCATCTCACATTCCAATTCCACACAGAGATAATAGTGATGGAATAGTCCATATTACAATCTTTTGGAAACTCTGGGAAGACCCCTACCCTATACAGTTTTCCTTAATTGAAAAACCACTGCCATGTGTACCCATCACTGGTCCTCTGGTATTCACTATATTCTTGGTGCAGATGGAGTAAGGGGTTGGTGTGCTATTGATGTCAAATTCTCACTGCATGTCTGGGTTTAGATAGATCAGAATAAAATATAACATACATAGTATACTTTGACAAAATAATATTTGAATATTTTTTACATAAGTACATTTAAGGAAGACAAGTCTCTTCTCCATCCAGATTTTCCTTGACTATCTTTGAGGAAGGCAAGATGAAGTATGGGCAATCCAGCATACGTGGGGGCTCACAATATGTGTCAGGATAACAACAAATACCTTGGACAGCACACTGGCAGCAGGCAGGGAATGCCCCATTTGCCTTGTTGCTATTAGGAAGAAGCACCACCTCTACCAAGCAGCCAAGAAACTGTACTAAAGTGCAAGAACATGATGGGGCTGGTGTGGTTAAGGTGTGGTTTAATTGTATTCTCCAAAGTTTCACCTATTTGAAGCATGTTCTGTACTGTGGTGATGTGATATCATAAAGTGGTGAGGTCTGGATGAAGGTCATTGCTCTCTGAAGAAGGTTTCCTGTCTGGCATTGTGATCCCCTTTAACAGCGACTCCTGGCCATCTGATGTAGCCAGGAAGTCCTCACCAGAATGAAGAAAATTCAAGCTAAACTATGAGCAACATAATCCATTTTCTTTGTAAAGACACCCTGTCTCAGTTATTTTGTTATAACAGAAAAACAGACTAATAAAAGGAACTTATCTCTTCTGGTGACCGCCCTATGCCCAGAAGTCAGCAGAACATTTTCCAGGAAGTAGGTTTATCAAGGGTCTATTGAAAGTTTGAAGTGGCAGAGTTACACTGGGCCATGTATTTGCACCCAGCCTTGGCAACTGGTTTTGAATAAGGCTGAAGATTTAACTATTATAACACATAGTGTAAAACCATAGGTTGGGAAGGTAAACTTGGTGTCTCCTGACGTTGCCTCCCAACTTAAACCCTATAGGTTTCACTTAATACAGCAATGACACATTAAAGCATAAACAAGATTGTTTTATAATCTCCACTACTTTTTCTCACATAACTTAACTTTCTTACTAGGAAATGTTGATTTCTTTCTTTCATTTATTATCTTTTATTATTTATCTTTTTTACCTGAGTTTTTTTTTTCATTTCCATCTTTCCCTTTTGTGTCCCCTTTCTTTTCTGCCATGTCCCCATGTTCCCTTTCTCTCCTCTTTTCTTTGTGCTTCTGTTGGATGATGCCCAGGCTTTTCTCTTTGTGTATCTATAGATAGAGATCTACAGATACAGTGATGTGTTTTCCTGTGTATACATCTGTATCTACATGTAAAGGAGACATCTTTTTGAATGCAACATGAGCAATTTGGCATTCTTTTGATGCAATTTGGCAAAATATCGGTATCTCAGTGAGATTATAAGAACACAAGACCCTTACTTTCTAAGTCAAGGAGGTACATGGTATAGTTGCCACACAAGAAGAGTCTATATCATTACTTCAGTGATCCCTAGGGATGCATTATGAATTGGATGTCAGTATTGAATAGAAGAGCCTTCTGCAAATACCAGATGTCATTTTCATTAATCACGCCTATCTTTTCTTTATAATGAAGAAATGGAGATACCTTAATTTGATGAAAGTGTTTGTCTTCATTTTTTTTTGCTTTGTAAGTAAATGACTAAATATTAAATCAAATCCACACAGCATTTTAAAAGCATAGAGGATAGTCATGCTTATGGAACAAAAGATAGTGGGCTCATGGAACTTATGGCACAGTGGGTAGAGAGAAATGATTTAAAGAAGTATAGCTCTCTTCATCAGTCTGGTTATGGACAGTGCCTGGGGCTTTGGTGACTCCACTGCCTCCAGGTGTCTCTCTGGCCTGGAGCTTTTGTTGGGTACACTTATTTATTATTTATTAAGAAAAGTCTTTCCCATTATTTATTTATTTGGAAAATCTAGTAGGAAAGTTACTGCATGAACTGTATGAGTTTACCAGTATAAGGAAGTACTTGTGACAGTTGTCCAATTCAAAGTTACTCTTAAAAAAACAAGATATGACTGCACAATAAAACATGACTTTGCTGTATTTTCCTTTTTTAAAGACATGTTTTTAATGGAAAATTTGTATGGGCTCAAGATAAAAACTGCTGAATACTCCTGACCTTCATTATTACCCCACAGAGAGTTGCTGTGGGCATTTTCTTGTGTTTCTACAAGTGACATGACATGTGTGACTCTCTTGCTTTCCCTTACTATGCTTTGCCATTTCTCTAGAACAAAAACTAAGCGATTATCACATCAAACTCTCATAAAAATCCAATAATAGTTTTTTCCATAGTTTATTTAGCAGGTGCCTTGCTGATAGACAGTCAAGTTTCCCCTAACTTTTTACTAATATAAAAATGTTGCATTAAGGCCAGGCAGTGGTGGCACATCACTTTAATCCCAGCACTCAGAGGCAGAGGCAGGAGAATCTCTGTGAGTTCGAGGCCAGCCTGGTCTACAGAGCAAGATCCAGGACAGGCTCCAAGACTACATAGAGAAACTCTGCCTCGAAAAACCAAAAAAAAAAAAAAGTTACCTGATTCAATTAGTAGATGTAAAAATACAAAGTTCTCACACATAGAACTGTTGGATAAATGCATATGTATATTTTAAATTTTGATAGAGAGGTCAAATACTCAAGCTAAGGGAAGGTAGCTAATATATTGCTGTATCCAGTGCTTAATGGGTTAATAATATGTTTTCCTGCTTGAGAACTTACTTTAGTTCCATCTTATTGTAAATGAAATAGAACAAATTTACCTGTGACAGTGAATATTTCTATTTCTTTTTCTGTACATTCATAATATGAATACACATTTTTAGCTTTCCAAAATGCATTCTTAATTTCTGCTACTTTTTTAGTAGCTTCCAAAGTTCTTTCAGTTAATACCTCTAGTCATTTCTGACTAACCATTCAGAATTGGGACATTATGGACTCATTCAGAAGAAACTTCTGAGGACCAAAGACGTGGGAGAGAGATGGAGAAGGGAGAATGATAAGGAGAAATCAACAGGAAAGCATGGACTCCTGAACTGCACATCTTCTGAAACAGATGTTAAACACTCTGGCCCATCAATGTCTGAGTAATAATTGGCAGTAGCTCCAGAACTTTCTGCTCACCAAGCCAGGCTACAGGAACAAGAAAAAATGGGAAATCTTTGACAGCTTGGAAGCATTGTGGTAGATTTGCACCCTAGAATGAAGACTTTGTTCATGTCCCACTTTAACAGGCTCCTTGAAAATGATCAAGCCAAATGCCTGGGTTTCCAATCCTCTCATCTCGGCCTGTACTGTTACACACCTCTGAGGATGACTCCCATTGCCAGCTTCCTCCTTTGCTTGTGCTCACTGAGTGTCACGTGACAGGTGGGTCGGCTTTGCTTCTAAGATGTGATTTCTTTTGGGACTAGGACTGTTTTTGCTTTCGGCACATTAAATGACATCCTCTACCCTGTTTAGATGTCAGAACTGTGAAAGTATAATAATGGGTACTCATACAGGGAAAAAAAAGCTACTTTCTTATTTTAATTCCATATTTTGGAAAGAACATTTTTATTCATCCGTCTGCATTTCTAAAAACAACAAATGAAGAACAAACCGTACTTTTCAACTAGCTAGGACATGCCAGTCATTATTATGCCACACCTTCCACATGTGATGCTCCTTGGTCTGTACTTGCAGGAGGTAGGGCTGGTTCACAGAAGATCAGTGATCCACAGAGGAGAGGGACTACAGTGAGTTTTCAAAAATAAGGAAATGGAGTGTTAAACCTTCTTTTCCAGTAGGAAAGGGCTCTCATTTTCATTGTTTATCCAGAAGGATTATTTATAGACCAGGACAAGGAAACAGATTCTGAATGAGGAAATAGCCTTAGCCCCATGACTCTTTAAGTCAATGCAGAGGTAAGACCCTCAATCAGAAAAGCCCCTTGTGAACAATGAGTGAGGACACACAGGTCTGCCTTCAGGTTTTCATGTGGCCTAAATGCATGTTCTCTTTTTTGCCATTAATAGGATTTGGGTGCCCACAAGAGACCTATGAACTCATTAACGAGCTTGAAGTTCATTGGATTATATATTTAAGAAATACTTTATTCTTTGTTCTTTTCCTACCACCTGAAAGCAAATTAATCAGGTACCCTGTATGTGTGTTTCTAGCAACACAGTGTGTCATGCTGGGTAGAAAAGAAGGTACACAGTTGTCATCCGTGCATGTTCAGTTCACAGTCAAAAGCAGACCGCTCTTTTGTAAAATACTGGAGTCATCAAAAGGAGCGGAAAATAGCGAATTACCTAGCAGCAGCCAGAGGAATAAGTCAGTAGTATTTTAATAATTCTATTTGCACTGGGAAAACAAAATAATAGATTTCTGTTGAATGAATGAGATTCTTTGTTTACTGAATGACAAATGTAAATGGGGAAAATTGTTTTTGCAGAAATCTCCAAATCACTTAATTCATCTTGAAATGGACTTTTCTTGCAACATGGTTCCTGAACTTTTTAAAAATACTACGGAACCAAATCCTTGATACCCAAGCAGTAAACTTCCCATGTTCCCTATTTTAGTCACTTCCTACATTCCATGAGCAGGATATGGGAGGAGAGGCCTTTTCCCACTTATCTAATCTATCTCTAACCTTCCAAACTAAGGTTAAATTCAATTACATTCTTGTCCACAGTCTGACAGATGGCAGGCCTCAGCCAGAGACACCACCCTGTTCGTTATTTTTTCTTTGTGAGACATCATCCTCTTCAGATAGCAATGGTAAAGGACTAGAAAAAAAACAAAACAAAACAATTGGTGTCATCGTATCAAAAATACCTGAAATTTTTCTAACTTGAGCAAAGAGAAACTATAAATAACTTCAATACAGTATCATGCAAAAATGCCTTTCTCTGTCATAATAAAATTTTAAGTTAAAAGTTTAGCTAACAGTAAGGGAATAAGCACAATCTTCATTCCTTTACATACAAAGATGACATTATCAATCCTGGCAGGTTGGGCCTGTAACTTGAATTATTGTCTACAAGGGAGGTATGTGGAACTTGTCACTAGTAACAGAAATGGGGGAGAACTAGGAAAATATTCTTGGATTAAAATGAGTGAACATGTGAAAAGGAAGTTTTAATTTTACACAGTACATCTGTGTTCTTTGCAGGGGCCAGGGTACCCAGAGAACCATAAAGTAAGGATAGAAGGCTTAGCTATTTTCAGAGTTTGGAAGATTTGATCAGGCCTGCAACATTTACCATGGTCTGAGAAGGGCTCAGCTTCCCTGTAAGTGGGAGAAAAGCCATTTTCCTGTCCTTCGCCTCTCCCATCATCTCACCGTATCCCACAGTTGCCTCTTGAGAAGAGCACCGATTAACCAGAGTTCTGGGGATTTCTCTCGCTCACTGGTAAAAAGAACCACATAGATATTTTCCTAGGACACAAATGAGGAAGATAGAAAAGTAGGAGTAAATAGAGGGTAGAAGTGGTACAGTTTAAAAGAAAGAAAGAAAGAAAGAAAGAAAGAAAAGCTTCAGCAGGCAAATCCTTCAGGTCCATAAACTTTGCTGAGAGTTTTCCTCAAGTTTCTGCTTAAGAAATGCATTCCTTCCCTATCCTTCGTTCTTTGTTTCTAGAAGTAAACTTAAAATGTGTCTGAAGTTCAATAGAATATTTAAGTCTGACTTTGAAACAAAGCAATCTGAAAAAAAATTTCTGTTTCCAAGTTGAAATGCATAGCCCCCAATCAATCAGTTAGTCAGAAATGATGAACCTCAAGACAAAACGTGAGCTTGAGATGGGGTCTGTAGCTGAAGGGTTTCCTGTGCCCACCAGGCTCCCGTGTCCTTGCATTCCCGCAGCCGCTCAGACCCAAATGAACACACAGAGGCTTATATTAATTATGAACTGTATGGCCTATTGGCTCAGGTTTTTTGCTAGCTAGATCTTACATCTTAAATTTAACCCATTTTCATAAATCTATATTTTGCCACGTGGCTCATGGCTTACCGATATCTTTACATCTTGCTTCTCATGGCGGTGGCTGGCAGTGTCCTCTCTGTTCTGCCTTTCTCCTTCCTCCTCTCTAGTTAGAATGTCCTGCCTAGCCCTATTCTGCCTCACCATTGGCCAAACAGCTTTATTTATCAACTAATCAGAGCAATATATTTTCACAGCATACAAAAAGACATTTCCCCCCATCAGGGGTCAGAGCATTTTCAGTCTCTTTCTGTGGGAGGAGCTAGAGTGGTCACATGTCCCCACTGATAGATCCACAGCAAGCAATTAAACTGGTGCAGCCTCATCCCTTTGGAAGATGGCATACGTAGAGAATCATTTAAGTTGCATTCAGAATTAAAATCCAATAGGATGTGGAAAACAATAACTTCATAAGAAGATGTAAATGAAAGGAGATCTAAGACAAACATCCAAAAAGAAAGTGTTGCCCAATGAGGTACAATAAGTTTAAATGTAATTTATGTTTTAATTTGAGAATGGCCATAAGTGGTGGCAGCTAAAACTCAACTACCTAAGGTCGATCTTCAACTGATGAAAATCTTATAGAACTCTCTTAGCATATTAGAAATGCCCATAGAAGGAAGGTAAGGCCAATTCTATTTTCCTTCTCCTTTAGTGGCATATACTGTCTGCGGAAAATCAATGTATCTTCAGATACAAAATAGATTTCTGGATAAGAGCTCTGCACAGTCCTGATGGCGCCTCAATGCAGAGTTTCACTATTATTTCATTGCAAGGTTGTTGTACTGACCCCATATGCTCTAAGTCCTTAAAAGTGAAGTACATTTTCTTCTTTAAACACATTGTATTTGATAGAAGAATTAAGAATATTGTCCAATTCATTTCAACTTTTAGTCTTTAGACTTTGATTTGTTTTTCTAAACTGATTTTTCAACAAGAGAAAATATTCAACTTTTCTCCACATGAGTTGGAAAGAAATTATTAGCAAGCTTCTTCATAAACAGAACTGTCCCTGAGGCTGGGGTGGAAATGAAATTACCATGAATTGTAAAGGGACTCCATTTCCAAAGTTGGCAATTCTGAAGGAGAAAGGCCAAATAGGACCTTACAGAGACTCCAAATATTTTCCCTCATTGTTGTTTCTAAATACTCTATAAATCATCCTGGCACCAAGAACTAGAGGCGTGGTATTAAGAATGATCAGGATCTCCCTTCTGGTATGCCTTGAAACCACAGCTAGTGGCAGGATTCTGATCAGAAGATGCTTTGGAAGAGAGAAAGCATAGTGCCATCTTGTAGCAACAACTTGTTCCCCACTCCTCCTCACCAGAATATCATCCTTTCCTTCAGAAATGTCAGTTTTCCATTGCCATTAACTAGTTATCTATGTCTTATGGTATGTTCTAAGGCATGTAGTTGTCAGTGTGCTTGTAACCTGTCACTCTCCTCTGTGAAGCTTGATGTGTAAAGTTAGCAGAACAGACTACATTGGCCTGTGGATATTATTCTTAAGATGAAAACTATTGATGATGTGTATATTGACTTTGGAACAAGTGATATACTTGGCCAGAGTGATATACAATTATTAGTTTTCATTATTCTTTTCTTAGAAACTATACAGAAAGAAAGAAGTAAGGACTATTCAGAGATAAAATGAAGTATAGGAACAAAAATTGTAAATCATGTCACTTTTCAATAGCTGCTTTGGATGTCACAGGAAAGACACAGCTTTGTTTTGTCAAGGGATTCAAGCTCCAATGAAATTCGAAAGGCTTACTTCAGCCCTTGGCGTTTGCTGCTATTCATATGAGTGACCCAGGAGAATGTGTCTATTCTATATCTTAGCTTATACAACTCTGAGACAAAGACAGAGTACCTGAGTACTATGTCAAGGGAAGACTGTCATATAGTACATAGACTGTCATATAGTACATGAAGACATCTGTGAAAATATTCCTGGGTTATTGTCACAATTTCTGCATTGTGTATTCTTCCTTTCACTTTGTAAATTTATTTCATCTAGGTTAGATTTTTAAAAATCACAATCTGAAAATCTAGGGAAATATTTTAGCTTTTCAACTTTATCACTGATATCAATAGGTACCTATCTTATTTTCTGTTCTTTGAAACTATAAAAATATACTTAGAATGAAGGGGAAAATACTGAAATCAAACTACTTTGCCTACAATAAACATAATCATTAAATGAGACAGTCTCTTAAGGCAAGGACATTTCCCAACAGCTGAAAGCAATAGCCATTTGGCAGAGAAGTTGTAAAATTCCAGAAAGACAATTAGTAGAAACGTTTTAATCCTTTAAACAATTTTTCTCCTACTTGATGCCTTGGATGCACCTGTTAGAATCTGTGACACTCAAGGTTTGCTTTGTATGTGTCTATAACACAAGAATGTCAGAGAGCTTTCCACATTTGGCTTGTGAATGGAAATTTTGAGGACAGAAAACACAGTGTCCTCCACCCTGTGAAACTTGGAGGGGAAAATGTTAAGGATGTTGTGACTGTTTTTCCTCTCCTCTCTGCTGGGCTTGTTTTAACTGGAAGCAGAGCTTCTAGAGCACAGCTGGAGTGAGTGAGTGGCTGTGGAAGAGAAAAAGGATAGTTTGTGTGGGTCCCTGACAAAGGTGAGACTGTTCAGCTGTGTCTGCTAGGCTGTCTCTCCATAAGACATTCAGAAGGTAATTCTCATTTTCTCTTGTTCTAAGACAACTTAACCTGGGTTCTGTATTTGAAGAATGTTGACGATCAGGTTTTAATTCCAAGTAAGTCAGAAGTGCCAGTGTGAACATCCCTGCAGTAGCATTGCCTCTGCCCCTCCTGTATAAAGGAGGTTCTAGGAACAGGGTCCTTTGTTGCATGACTATCTAGTATGGCATCTTAGCATCTCTGAAAATGCTCAGTTAAGGCCACCGTTGTGCATATATGTAGCTGACTTATTATAAAAGTTTATTTTAAACTTTAGATGGTGTTCAATAGAAATAAAGATATTTTGGCTTGCTTTTTTCTTTATTTTTTTCTTAAATACAACTTATATATTTTGAAGAGTCTATTATATTTTTAAAATTTTATTTCATGTATACGGCTTATTTGCCTGCATTTGTATCTGTGTACCACTTGTGTGCCTGGTGCCCACAAAGGACAGAAGAGGGTATGAAATCTCCTGGAACTGGAGTCATTGGTGGTTGTTAGCCAATGTGTGGGTGCTGGGAATCAAACCTGGGTCCTCTGGAAGAGCAGGTGGTACTCTTAACTTCTGGGCTATCTGTCCAGCATCACAGGGAGATTCATTTTTAAATGTAATTAAAGTAGATAAAATAATTAGAGAAAATATTTTTCTTGTTAAATTCACATTTATACATTATTTGAAATGGGAGACTTGTCACTGTGCAAGGGGAATTATGAGTTTCTGAATAATCAACAGACTAAAGATGGTTTACAGCAAAAGTAGTTGAAAAGTAATTACTAAAATTCCTACTTCCAGTTTTATTTTCAACTCAATCATTTCTTGAGGCAAACTGAAGATAAACTCAAAGACATAATTTAATGAAATAACACACTCTCATCTCTCAGGCTTAATTATATTCACTGCTGTCCGAGCTTTAGTGCGGTACAAATGGAATGCAATTTAGGGTTAGCAGTTCTTAGTGGAAAGCCCTACTTAAACTCTTGGTATCTGTGTGTACTTAACTTCTTTTACACTCAGTTTTCTCTTCTGGAGAATTTAATAATGGCATCTTCCTCTCAGTATTTTCCAATGAATTCTTGAAACAATAGAGCCATTGAACACAAGCTTATACATAGTAAATATTCATTCACTTTTTTTCTCTCAGTTACTCTCTCATCTCGTGAATATAGGATAAATTTGATACAGAAATAGACAGTTTGAGAAAGTTATGAGGGTACAGTGAAAAAAATAATTGGCTTTAGGTATCATAAATTAGATTTAAATCTCAGCTTCACCAACTTTCTCTAACATTGGTCATCTCTGAAATTCAGGCTTTCTGTTTGGGAAATGGGGATAGAAATATCTACTTTGTGAGATGTTAAGTGACCAAGTGTGGGAAGTAGTAAGTACAATGCCCCAAATCTTGGACAGCCTCTGTGGTTGATATATTGTGCACCCCAGTAAAATTATCTGGGGGTCAGAGAACAGAACAGCCATAACATTAAACATAGAGGTTAGGCAGTGGTAGCACACGCCTTTAATCCTAGCATTCCAGAGGCAGAGCTCCATCTGGATCTCTGTGAGTTCAAAGCCACACTGGAAACAGCCAGGCATGGTGACATACACCTTTAATCCCAGAAAGTGATGGCAGAAAGCAGAAATGTATATAAGGTGTTAGGACCAGGAACTAGGCTGGTTAAGCTTTTAGGTTTTTGAGCAGCATAGTTCAGCTGAGAGGCATCCAGTCTGAGGAAACAGGATCAGCTGAGGAAT